CCTTCCCAGTTGTCACAGTGCTGACTTTTGCTACAAAAACCCTGTAGAGTTGTTTGATGGACATGATGGTTTGATCCTTGTCCCAGCTGAAGACATAGATAGGCAAATCATAGAAGATTATCCTGCCAAACATAGTTTGTTTACATGCACACCTGATTGGTTTTCATCGGTTGCAGATAACATCATGCCCACCTTGAATCTCTCACATGAGAACCTTAAGTACTCTAACATATGGGCTGCATTTTGTTTCATGCGTAATGCTTTGTTAGATCACAACTGGGATGGCACTCCTTTTGAAGGACAAGATTTGAACTCTTTTGGAACTGTACCATAGATATCTTACACATTTTATTTGAAAACTCGTGGTCTCAGACTCTATGAATCTCAACCACAATTATACCTTGAAGTATATGAAAAAAACTAATTCAGAATGTGATAAAAGGGGACAAACTTTTAAAGTAATAGAAAAAAAATGAATCAAGTGAAATTACAAGGATTTATCTTGCTTTTCTTAATTGCTATTTGAATTCCCCCTTGATTAGCATTGAACTTCTTTTGACCGTGTTTCCGTTATGGAGATTTGTATTTCTTCTTATCACTAACAAAACATAAAAATAAAATATCCTCAGTTTAGGACTCCTAATGGTCAGAGAGCATCACACTTTGAGAGTCCGACTCCATCCCACACTTGGATAATGATGACTAGGCTTGCATAAGGTCTGCGTCGAACCCTACCCACAAGATTCTGGTACGTGAAGCCAACCCAGTCTTGGGGAGGACAAGTACAGTTGAACCTCATGAAGTGACCATAGATCATCATGATCCAAAACCAAATTGATAGTGGAATGGTATTGACATCAAGTAGTCCTACATCCACAAAGTGAAGAATGAACATGCAAGATACAACATCATCCACTATCAACTTGGCCTGTGAAAATTCTGCGTGTACTTGTATCTGACCATCATGGAATGAAGAATAAATTTTCAGCTCACATCATTATCATGTTTTAAATAGATGAATTTAATTATTAATTAGTTTGATTACTTTTAAGAAAGTGAGATTGATAGAGTTGAGTTTAAATGAATCTAATTTGGTTGGATTGGACAATGAGATGATAAGATGATTGATTTCAGTGGAATTGAATGAGAACAAATCGATTCAGTTGAATCAAATGAAAACAAATTGATTCAGTTGAATCGAATGAAAACAAATCGATTCAGTTGAATCAAATGAAAACAAATCGATTCAGTTGAATTGAATCAAAACAGTCATTTTTGGATGATTTGGATAGAAAGGATTGTTAGAATCAAATGAGAACGAGTTGTTTTGGTTGAATCAAATGGAAATGATTTGTTTCAGTTGAATCATATCAAAATGATTGTTTTGGGTTGAATTGAATGGAAAGAATCGAATTGGGTTGATTCAAGTTGAGTTAACATTTTCTTATCTAATCACAAAGAGAAGTATAAATCCAAAAACAAAGATAATCCATGTAAAGTTGTTGAACCTATCAGTGAAGATGACTATACATGAGGAAGAAAACAGTTCAATGATGAACTAAATCAATTTGAGTCAAATCAAATCAGTTCCAAGTTGAATATTGTGAGTACTTCAAAGATGGGAGTTGAAAGACTTACCTAAAGAAACAAAAGTGAAAGATGAAAAGTTGGAGTTGGTGATTTAGAAGGTACTTCAGACAGGAACTGGCTTTGAAAGTTCATTTTGAATTTCAAATTTTCAAAATGAAATACATTGTGACTAAATGCTGTTTAGGATGATTTGATTTATTAAAACTATGTATTGGATATCAGTGGTGGATCGGGCAGGATTGGGCAAAGCTATGAGATGTAGTATGGTGTCATGTTTATGGTTGGTATGACACTTCCCCGCCGTCAGACCATCCGCCATGACTCATGTTACAACACGGTTTTTTGAATCAAAAATCCATGTCGATGTGTGTCGGTATGAGTCATGTCGGACGGTATTTGGCTCAAGAGTGAATTTCAAACAAACATGACATGGAAAAATTACATGTAAAATCCATGTCATGTTTTGATGTTGGTATGACTCTATATGTATTCCATAGGGTGCAGGGGGGGCTGGTTTGGGGTGTGGGTGGGCCATTACCCTTGTTTTTTGGGTTGGGGCTCAGGCTGAAACCTAGCCCACTTACCAAAAAACTTGGAACATACACCCAGTTGCTTATTTGGCGGTAACTTTGTGTACAACTGTTCTGCTTTTTTGTGGCATGATTAAAAAAATTCTTTCCTTGTTTGTCTGCCACCACCACCTAAATACAGTCAATACAGGCCTGTACAGGTGGTGTCTGCAGGCCAACTCTAACCTGGTGGCCTAGGTCAGAAGAATTGGTTCAATAGACCTATGGGTTGTTTGGCAGCACAGTTCAATACTACCCAAACAACTCATGACTTATAAACCATTTTCACAGGTCACTTGACTCCACCTCAGGAATCCTTCACTGGTTGGACATCACAATCTTTGGGTTTGTCATTCATTCACCCACCAACTTTTTTAAACAAAAGCCAGCCACAAATTTTGTCAACCACATTTTTATTGCTACCTCCAAGGACCATAAAGTGTGACCCTCAGGATCAAATGGGAAACTCAAAAAGCACCAAAATCCCAATTTCTCAAGCAAGAGACAAGTATGCATCATGGTCCACCAAAGAATGTCCCACCACTACTCCATCCCATAAGCTTTTCCCTACATTTCACTGATTTCACTCATTCAAATATCTCATTTCCCTTGTTTGGATGAATGACCCTTCAGGCCTGCCAATGGCCAAATCAATCAATTAAGATCAATATCACCTTTGGTTTGGACTTGTAGCTACCAGGCCCTCATGATCAAAGTATGAGTAGAGACCAGTGAGTTATTTGTGTTGTTTGCAATTTGATGCACATGTCTCATTAATCTTGTGTTCATGTAGAATCTTGCCCTTATCCACCCAACTCATGTTGTCCAATGCTCCATTAAGCAGTTCCAGAGCCTGGTGAGCTTTTATTACTTTGAATCAACCATCAAAGCAGTCCTTTATTTATTTGATTTAGCTTGTCTTCATTGGCTGTAGCACAGCTCCCCTTTCTCCTTGCACCAGCTTGCCATGGTCATCTGGCTCCTTGGCCAATCCTCACATCAACCCGTTCATCTTTACTGTGTTCTTGTCTTCACAATTTAATTTACTTCAACTTCCACAGCAAACACCATCTGATCATTGTCTCTGGAGAGATCAGCAACTGACACAGATCCTTCAGATGCACTACAAGAAACATAATCTTTTCCGGGCGGTAAAGAAAAGTATTCACATAGAAAAATCCTGAGACACCCAGAGGAGAGCAAAAAATCTAAGAAAATGCGCATCTGATTTGCAGATGTTGGAGCTCCATGATGAGTATTTTTTTGTATTTTACACACAGGTATTGTTCAATGTACTAAAAATATAGGTGACAAATCATCAAATAACAACCTGTAACAACACCTGAAATTTGGCCCAAGATGTTGGAGACAGGATTTTGCAATATAAAAACAGCCATAAATTTCACAAGTCTGCTTGAGATCAATCAATTGTCAGTTCATTTGAAAGCTGGTCCCCAGTTCTTCAAACTTAATTGAGGTAGTAGGGTGTTAGCTTGTCATTAAAACATGCTATGTCCTTGTCAGCCCTGAGTACATATACATGTACCCAAAACTAACCTGTAACAGTAAAAACCCTATGTATAAAATCAATTACATGCTACATACTGAATATAAACTGTATGTAACATGTAATACAATGTATCAAAACCTTTATTACATATACCTGAACCTGTAAAACAACGTGTAATATGTAATAAATCACCATTTACACCTCATAACTCAGTGTCAAGAGTTAAATGCTTATATTACATATCACACATAACATGTATATGTAACTAAGCATCACTAGTAACAATCATCACTATATGTTAATGAATAACCCTGAACCAATGTAGTGATAATAACAAATATCACTACAGTTAGGTTTAGAGAGGAGAGTATATAAACCCCTCCTCTCTCAGCCTTCAGGAAAAGACCCCCAAGCAATTATTACCCACTACTTTTAAAGAACAATTAAAGTTCAACTGAAGTAAATATCAAAAGTCTTATACAAATAAGACTAGTGATAAGCTTCATCAACTTTAATCAGCTTCCTGATTGAAAGTAGGTAACACAATTCTTCATTCCCCTCTGGATCCTCTACTTCCCCTAAGTAGAAACCCAATCAAGGCTAGTGACCTCCAACAACTCCAGGCTAGTGACCTTAAGAAGAAATTCAGGCTGGTGACCTTAAGAATAACTCCAAGTTGGTGACTTTAAGAACAACCAGATTGGTGAACTAAATCACTCTTTGATCTGTTACAATAAAGACTAAAGGAAGGTCCAGGATCCAACCTTCATTTATTATAATAACATCTTATTATAATTACTAAATCTCCTCTTCAGGAGTCAATTAACTGAAGTCTGTCTGGATTTGTCCAAACAGACTGTCAGTCCTTTTTTTTCTCTTTCTTTTTCCTTCTTTACTTCAATTTGTACCTACTACATATTTGAAATAAAGAAGTTAAAATTAAGAAACCTACCATTTACCCTTTAGTGAGAACTGAGTACTCCTACAAAGAGCACCCAGCCCTCACAGTCCTCTGTAAGAGTTCCACATAGGTAGCTATGTAGAATCTCACAAAGACTAGCTATGTATGTGATGTGCTATGAAACATTGTAGACAGGAGGTTCAGCTTGTCAATGGACTCAAAATCAAGTGGTTTGCGGGAGAACCGCAAAAGTTATTGATTTTTAAAAGATTGACTTCTTTCTCTTCTCTTCTCTTTCCTTTCCCTGTTTTTTTGATCTAGTCCTGGTTATATATCTGGTGTTACAAATCCAATTTTTAAATCACATACAGAAGCATGGGATGTGTTTTGTAATATTGAGACAGGCAAGATTACAATGTTGTCTCAACCCATGAGATCATTTTCACCTATCCCACCTGAAAGATCTTTAACTGAAATGACCTTGACTACTGGAGTTGCATCTACTAATTTGGCTAATAGTACAACAAAAACTGGGGGTGGTGGTGGTGGAGGTTTAGAAGATGGCTCAAAGACTACGCTGGTGATTGGTGGGGTCGTGCTTTCTCATGCTACTCTTACTGGTGCTAAGAATGAGTTGGTCAGAGACTCAGTGAATCATAGTTTTATGGATGATGTATGTATTTTATTCATGATTTGAAGTGGGATGATCTTATTTCAAGAGAGGAGATACCATGAATGACTCACATAAGTTTGGTTGGATGTGTTATTTGTTTTCTTCATATTATCTCAGCTATTACTTCGCATTTAGGTGAACCAATCATCCGAGCTAGGTGTAAAGATTATGTGAGTAGGTTTGTAAGAGTAGCTTATAGATGGGGAGAAGATCATTTGGGTACATCTTCAATTTCACCAAATACAAAACCAATTGCCTTCCAACGTGTTTGTATTTGAATACAAACACGTTGGAAGAGAAGATTAAAATGTTAAGATCTGGACCTGTGTTTTTGGATGAAAGTCTGATGAAACGTGAGGTGAGTGCGAATTTGGCCAGGATTGAAGGTTGGAGAGAGACTAGATCTTATCAATTACTTTGTCAGGTTAGCTTATTCTTTTCATCAAAAGAAAATACACAAATTGTGCATTTTCTAATGCTTTGGGTTTTACTTTTTTAATGGTTCTGGGTAATTTTTTTGTTTGAATACTTGGGTGTGTGTGTCCTTTCTATGTAAAAGATTCCTGACAGTGCTTTTAGGCACTTTTGAACGTTAAATTTTCCCATAGCGGAGCGGAGCGACCTCAACAATTGCACCGCTCTCAGGAGTCATAGCGCTTCCAAAAAGATAGCGGGGTGATTAGCGTTTTATCATAGTGTGAATCGCTCCGCTCATGAATTTTTGAGATATAGCGAAGCGGAGCGGAGCGCCGGTGGTGTTGGTGGCGGACCTTTGCTTTGCATTTTGACGGGTTATGCAATTCTGTTGTTAAATTTGGCAGTAAAAAGCCTCAATATTCAAGATTTTTTCTATGCATTATCGTGCATTATGCAGCTGTGCGGGTATGCATTTGAGCAGGTTAAATTGTCTGAAGTAAGATCAATATGCATGTTAAATTTGTGATATATTTTATACATGATCACTTGTTCGTTGTTATTGTCATCAAACATCTGTTTGTTGAATCTTGACATGACTTGAAGAATTTTGTTGTGACAAATTGAAGGCTGGAGAAAAATCAAAAGTGAACTGAGCCCACAATTGATTGCATGTTATCAGAGATCCCCTGCATATAATGCACCCATGTCACTTGTGCTGGCTCTTAGGTCCAGTTGAAGTTATGTTGAAATTTTATTGAAAACATATTGAAATTTGCTTGCAATCTTCTTGAAGTCAGTGGTAGTCTCTTCCCTGCCAGTGACTAGTAGCTGGAGTCTGTGATACAGTGCATCAATAACCTGGTCCAGTGGGGGTTTTTTCTTCCCAAGAAAATCTACAACTCGTGGTCAGCACACTATTGATGAAAAAGACCAGGTGAGTAGGGTGGCAAGCAACTTATATGGGGGAGGGTTCAATCAAATGAGTTGGGTTGAGCTGTTCATGGTGGCAGTTGTGAAAGGGGTGAACATGGTGTGATGGACTGGTGTTTGTGACTGGTGGTGGTGTCACTTGGTGGTGTTGTGATTGATCTGTGGTCAAACAACGGCCAGAGCTAGGCCCCTGGTGGACCAAGGGCAGAGGTGGCCAGTCTGGAGGCATTTCATAACAGGCTGGGCTCAAAGCTGCTCTGGGCAGCCCACCCACAGGCCAATGTGAGACAATGAGCAAATTAAGACTTGGTGATGCAATCATTTGACACAGAATGCCCCAGTGGTGTAAAGGCTCTTTGTGTTATGAATTGTTACACATACTAGATGACACCTATGTATAAACATGTCACAGATCAGAGTTGTACTTAGATTATTCAGAAGAGATACTATTGTATTACTCATCCAACAATCTCATTATCAATCATGAGACCTTTTGGAGGTGATCTCAATCTTTGTCAACAAACCCTTAGATCTAGCCTTCACATTGATGTGATCAAAAATGGGTAAGCTAGAACAAGTCTGTCTTTCAACTTGTGACTTTAGCCCTTTGATTAATGTTTGATTGTCATCCAAACAGAATTTATCTCTCAATCATCTCCCCAAGGTCTAAGAAAGCACCATCTCAGTTTTATGTGAGGGATATCTCCAAGCTGCTCCAAAATGGGTTGCCAAAAGCCTGCAAAGTGAAGATTTTGCAACACAGAATTTTGAACTGGAGTAAGCATCTGCATAATTGTCAAAAGTGAAAGAGCATTCCTTCACAATATCTGGTTCTGAGAATTGCCAGACTCACATAAACAGTACATTATGATCAGAGCCAGTACCTATCAAAACACAACAATAAGCAAATCACCTGATGATCCCATTGTCAGGTTTCTTATCCATTTGTCAATTGGTACCAAAAATGAGCAGATAGCGTATCCCAGAGTCAGCACTTGTCAAGATACCTTATTTGTCCAATCTCTGGGTGCATGGTGCTTCAAAATTTAACAAACAACATATTTTTACAACATAGTACATACAGTGCTAAAGATTGAGAGTATGTAGTTAACATGCACGTGAATGTAGCTCGATTGTATTTTAGCGAGACAGAATTGCGTCAAAAAGATATCAGACAAGTATAAAGTGAACATGACTTGAGATCAAAGCAGAAAACCTCGTATTACCCTTTAGGTACACCACATGTGAGGACTTTCAACATGGTCTCGTTGACAAGAACTGCCTCCTCACTCGAGAGATTTGTAAGTATACGACTCATTTCACCTCTTTGCACAACTGAGTCCCAGTTCTTTTGTATAAATTCATAGCCAGATATACGCAATTCTTGATAATGCTGAAAAAGTGGGCTCAGAATCTCCGATACCACATTTTCGATGTTTAAGCAATCGAAGATCTGTTCTCGGCATACATCTTTCAGTTCAGGAATCATCAACACTGATAACCGTCAGAGAGATCTGTCAGAGAGATTCAAAGAGGGGGCTTGATTCAAGTACATGATGTCGGACTGTGCTTACTATCGGCCATTCTGTATAAGCTCTTGGGGCTTGTGGGAGTTTTGTACTCAGGTACGATGGTATGAGATGTAATATTATCCTCGGCCCACTCATGCCATGGAGGAATTGGCACATCGCCGGGTTTACACTCTAGCACAAATTTGCGGTACGCAGATTGGGGAGGTGCAAAGTACAAAGCCCTAGTCGCAAGAAAGAATTGGATTGACAGGTTCAGACATTCAGCAATCTGTATTCAACCTGAAGTTTTGATTTCCGCTCACCCGCAAAATGCATAATCTATGAATGCCTGATAGGTTCGTCGACTGTGCGATGACATTGAGTTTGAGTTGACGCCGTGATACATATGAAAATGTAAAGACTGACGATGTGTCCATGACATGGATGGTAGCCTGAAATGTATCGGTCTGTAATCACATATCCAAATAACAATTATCAAATTAATGCGTTCTCAAGCTGGAACTGAGGAACCTTGGTATGGTAGAAAATGCAAAATTGATGTGAGTATACGTTTAGGGGCTCGCGAGGATCGTCATCAATATCCCATTCATCATCAGAATCTTCGTAGATGAACCCTTCACCACCTTGTCGCGTCGCTTCATTCAATGGAGGCAGTGAATCGTCTGTTTGTGCGGTTTCAGAATATTTTTGTGAATGCACTAGGAAAGTTCCCATACAGATCAGGGGTTGTGAGGCTAGGTCGGATTGCCGAGGTGAAGCTTACATGATTGAAAGTAATCAAACCGAGTGAGTATATGACTTGGAACATATAGATTCTTGACAGTTCCTTTACGCTTGGGATGAAAGACTAGACGAGTGATGTCGATTGAGGGTCGTTGGAGGGCTTCAAATGTAGTGCGCATTCGACGCATCGCTCTCCGCAGGTCATCTAACTCACGGCGCTGACTAATCAAGGCTTTAACATCAATTGAAGCTTCCGGATGGAATAGCCGTGCTTTGAAGTAAAGAGAATCCTGTGATCACCATTTAGTAAAAGCCGCTCGATGTTCAACTTGAGCCAGCAAGAGGGAGCTCAGATACTCACATGAACACTTATACCATCGAACCAGCTCACTATATCTGACGCTTTCCCAATAACAGTAGTCTTCCATCCGGCCGAGTCTTTGGATTCAAGAGACGACAGGTGAAAGGCTTGGAAGTTGCCCGCGCGAATAATGCCAAACTGAAGAGGTGTAAAATCGATCCACACGCAAACAAACGCCGCTTTAATGTCACGAAAAAGGCGACTATAAGTATACCAATGTTAAACTAGACTGACTTGCAGCAGCAACCCCCATGCAGGACTATAAGTCTCGCGGAAGGTCTTGCTCAGATGGAGAACCAACTCGCGTTGGTCACCTTCACTCGACTCCACCGCCAGCTGCCCCGCTGCCGTTGTTGAATCATTATTTCGACTCTTCAGCTTAAATTCATAACTGCGACTTGGATCTTCTATTCTAGGTAGGAAGGCCGTCACATCAATCGTCTTTCTGGACTTCACAAGGACGGTAAATCGTTTAAAGCAACCGTTGATCTGGAAGGTGAAGATCAAAAGGGAAGCCGGATCAGGACGCTTGATGGAAGGAAAGGTTGGCGATTTTTTATCTGCAGTGTACCCACTTCCAACGTACGATGTTCGATCTGGGCTGCCATCTTTTTTGTACTTCAGAAGCTGTTGATGTCTGTTGATGTTCCGAAGGGGAAAAAAATTAACCAGAATTAATCAACTTTTTTTGATTTCAGACTGAGACAATAACTTAAGTCCCAGAGGGACTTACACCAGCTTACACCTTAGAGCATCCACAATGGTCGGGCCCCAAATCGAGGCCCGGGGCTACCCCGAAGGTCAGAAAATGGAATACATAGGGCCGGATTAGGTGGTGAGGGCAAGAGAAGTCGATCGAATCTACGTATTCACACAACTACCTACGACTAGAGATGGCACCAATTGCACCAGAGGATGTTGACGATTTCGATTTTCCACTCGTAGAAGCATCATCTTCATCCGCCATACCTGGAAGTTCTCTACCACATCCGATGGCCTCGGGATCCGTACCACCCAATATGGCGGATCTGGCCAGTATGTTCAGTGGGATGATGGGTGGAAGTAGTGGGATGGGAATGATGCCACAAGAGAAACGAGAACCTGATAGAACCAGATGGAAAAAGTTAGTATTTCTCTTAAAACCTTTTATATACCCCAAGAGCCAGAGAGAGATAATAACTGCCTCTTGGATTACACAGTTGGGAAACCATTTATCCGATCTATTTAGATGCTAAAGTACCATATAAGACAGGTGGAAGACGAGTTAGCTTGAAGTACTCACTACGGTGGCCATTAGCTCATCATATTCAACAAGTTTGTAGTCAAATCGGATTTCCAGCTCAATTAGAGGTCAGCTTATTGTTCTTTGAAGACTCATATTTGGAAAACAAGCCAATTCAATTTTGAGTATCTTTAGTAGAATGACAAGACCCATCCTTCGGATTGGCAGAACCCAGGTCGAGTGAAAGTTTTGATCAAGAAAGGAGGAAAACCGACTGTTAGGTCCATCAAAGATAGTGAGTCTCGATTGAGAATGGATTACCTTCAATCAGAGACAATGATTTATATTGATTATCTCAATCTGTGCTTCAATCGGACTAGAATATACGCTTCTCTGTCGACTCGGTACTCTTTTGCGACCACTTGAATCAAAGCGATTAAATCTACCGCCACCTACAATTGATGACAGAATCAGTGGACCATTGCCTCTGATCTCCTTGAGACTTCCATACAATTCACCAGCAGTCTCACATGGAGTCTTAGAAGCTGCCGATTCTCAAGCTCCAGAGATTACAACAGATGAAATCCCATCAAATGATTCAAATTCAAAATCCATCGAGTCAAAAAAGACAAACAAAACTTCCGCTCAAAAACCTAGTTCAAAACCACCAGGTTCTTCTAAGAAGAAGAAAGGAAGAAAGTGAACTACTCTAAACTCTTGGTGGCTGGAATCTTGTGTGCTTGAATCAAAAGTTGAACAAAGTTCATTGCTTGAATTCGAAAAGTCTAGTTATCTTTGTTTCCTTTGTATGTCAATAACTGTCCTGGTGTCTTGCAAATGTTGCGTTATGGCTTGGTTAAGCATGTATCTATTTCCCAAGCTCAACTTTGTTTGCGTCCCTCTAAGCTCGTATTGAACGTATACAATCGAACCCATGCAATTGCATATTTAGTCATTTTGTATAGGCCAGGGCTTCTCAAACTTGGCCCGGGCCCAAGGCTAGGTTTCTTGTATAATTATGCCAGAATGCATAGGTCAAACTTTGAAAAAGCGGATCTCTGTAGCCAAAAAGCATAGCTTCAGAAGGGTAAGCTTCAATCACAAACAAAACCAAACATGAATGATTCAGAAACCCCTTCCCCGGCGGTTGAGCCCCTCAAAGTTGACCACCATAATCCCATACATGCCACAAAGATTGGCAACATCATCCATGTAGCACCAACTCCCCTCCTTCCTGCTGCTGTTTCATCTGATCAAAACTTGGAGGAGCACAAGCTCCTATCACTCGAGAAAGGGCTTCAAACTGAAAGACACCTCAAAAAAGCCAATATTGAAACTTGCCAAGACACTGGCAAAAACATTTCTACTGCTGATGACAAATGGCTTGATAAAGGCGGTAATTTTATAACTGAACAAATTTTGATTGACAAACTTCTTGTTGCAAAAGACAACAAGCCTTACTGTTTTTCATATCATGAATATCACACGCAAATGTCTTCAATTGACTTTAGTTGAAGCTGCTACAAATCAAATGAACACCAACACACAACTTAAAAAGAAATAAAGCAGAACACATCATTAAGAATAAGGTACTGATAGTAAAATATGGAAGGTGAAAAGAAAATCCCTCAAAGTCAGGAGGCAGTAGTTAAAGTGAGAAACAAAACTATGAGCTCAAAGGCTTGTGGCTAAAGATCTTATGGAGGCCTATAACACATAAGAATATCAGTAAGATAAGACTTTGAAGGCAATGCGATACAACTCACTCCCTTTGCAAAAGATGAGGAAAGAGATTTAGATTGAGACAAGACAACAATGATACAAATACATTATCTAGAGAGAAAAAATGACAGTAGAAAAGATTAACAACAACATTGAATGGTATTGATTGACACTTCAACTTGCAATAACTAATCTAAGAGCATCAACACTCAAACAAATTAGAGATGATACACACATAATCCCATACAAAAACATTAACATAAACTTGTACAAGCAGACGCAAAAAGTTTACGTCACCCCCTGGGCCCGACCAGTTCACTAACCCAAGAGTGTACTGCAGAATCAAGCTGGTCGGGGCCCGGGGTGACGTAAACTTTTTGCGTCTGCTTGTACACTCATCGAGGTACCTTTTCAATGCCCTGTTTGTGTTTCAACAGAGTATACATATCTAAGGGAAAGGCCAAACTCATACTTTAGAAGAGCTTTATCAATATAAGATCTGAGGAATATCTTTGACATTGGTAGCAAGTCTACAAGTAGTTTTGGGTCTTATTTTGACAACAGTCTGGTTGGTAAAAAAGGAATAGTGGTGACAGTTTTAAACAAAATGGTTCAAGGGTTCAGAGAACCAAGATTGGATCTTATGTAGTTATGAATGGAATCTAATGGTAAAAGTAATTCGCTGGTTGTTTCAAAAGGTTATTGAGTAATTGGAGTTCTAAAGGTTAGATTTATGGTACACAAAGCTACATATGTACACATATTTAGTTTTCATATATACTTTGTTTTGGCGGGAAAAAAACAAATATCTATTTGGACTTGTTTTCCCCGCTAAAAAAAAGTATGTAGCAAAAAGTATGTACATGTACATTTTGCTCAACAAAGCATTCAGTCTTTATATTTGTTTGACTGACAGCAGAATTGTTTTATTAGTTGTGTTATTGTGATCACATTCTGCCTGGTCAGGGCTTGAATAATTACGGTACTCAAAACGGCTAGGTCCGTGCTACCTTTCTTGAAAACCTGCTTTCAAAATGTTGTTTTTGCGGAGAAAATGAACCGTACAGAACTCCAAAAAAAAAGTTCCAGAGAATTCCCAGGAATTCCCCCGCAAAAAGATCAACTTTGAATCTATGTTTTTCACATTTTTTGAAAAAGGTGGCTTGAACCTAGTGGTTTTGAGTACCATAAATTCTCTGCCTGGATGACATGGTTTTTGTTGGTTTAGTCTAACAAAAACCCATACCTGGTCAGGGTTCTAACCCTGCCAGGTCAAATATGCTGTGTAGATGGCTTCTTGTTTTTCATTATGTACAAAGCAGTCAGTCTATTAAGAGACACTGACTGGGTTGTCTTGATTATTTTCCTTCTGTTTCACTCTTGAAAATGAGTGTGAGTTGTCACTACGCCAAATCAATAATATACCATGGAGTTTAGAAAAGTCAAGATGTAGAAAATTTTCAGCAATGCATGAGAGGTAGGAAAAATTTGAAAAAATTCTGGTTGAATCAGTCTGTGATTTCCCATCATTTTGCATGTTTTTTCATATTTTTACCTTGAGTTTTGAAGATGTTCCATAGAAAAATGATCTTGGGTGTATTTGGTCAGAAACTCAAATTTTGTCCAAAACTACCCAGGCTTGGGCAGAAACTTTTCAACAATCACAAATACAACAATTTTCTTTTGATCAATTTGGCAGTTGCACATTATGAAAGCCACATACTGGATCTACAGTTTTCATTTGGATGCTGAAACCCTTGTGGAACAGATTTCTAAGCTTTTCTAGCTTTGCTGTTGGGGACGGTGATTGCTGTACCTTCTTCATTTTTGGACACACACCATTCATTCTAATGTGTATCTGGTGAATTAAACATGTAGCTTGCAGAATGGGCAGACATTCCAGATTTTCACACAAATTTGACAATCTTATTGGTCTCACAGGGTTAATGTCTCCATGACTGCCAGTTTTGGACATAAACTGAGTTTCTGACCTGATATACACTGCTGCCGTAAAAATCTGTAAAAATATGCAAAATATTGGGCACACACAGGGGAATGCAACCCTTATTTTTTCCATAGTTTTTTGACCCCTTCTGCCTTGTGTATAATTTTCTATGTCTTTTCAGTTTTCTAAACTCAGCGGTAAATTTGCAATCTGGTGTAGTGTGTGTGGTTTTCCTGTAACTCAGATGTGGTTTATGAGAGAAGATGTATTTGTCTTATTTTGTATATGTCCTTATTATCAAATATGTTCCTTTGTACTCCAGGCAGTAAGTAACTTACTCTGTAGGCTGGCAGAGCAAATCAAGGAAAAGTGGTATCACCTTGCTTAAATCAAAAGTATTGACAGGCAGAAGTGGCTCACCCTTGATGGTGGATGGCTTGACTTGTTTGAGAACCAACATGGCCTGTGTGAATTCAAGCAGCATGACAAGGCTGGATCTGCCAAACCTGAAATGGTTACAGCTGAAAAAGAATAAATTGAAGAGATTGTGACTTAATATAGACCAAGAAATCTTTACAATATGAACAAGACTGGCTTGTTTTACATGTAAGTCCTTTTTGTCTATCTTTCTCTTCCTTTGATCACTCTTCTCAAAGATACCTCTTCTTCTGGGTCTTTCACAGGGTGCTACTGAAATGGGGCTTAGCAGGTGTCAGCACTCCTGGTGTGAAAGGCTCAAAGTCCAGAATCACTTCTGTGTGGATCTGAAATGCTGATGGATCAGGCAATTCATCTCACCTTCATCATTTGATGGAAACCAACTCAATGCTTCAACAAGAAGACCCAATCCAGGCTTGGAATCAGATATTATATGAACAAAGCATCATATCTTTTATCCTTGAGATGTGATTTCTTGTGTGGGACCCACAGCTCCATAAGAGGCCAAGAGGAAGATCTTCCTTTTACTCAATAACTTTGCCAGTCATGAGATTGAGGAAAATCAACTCAGAAACATCCAACCAAATATGGCTTGCAGTGTAGAGGAAACCACGCAGTGCCAGGCATGGCCAGGGAGCTTGGATCCAGGGTGTTGAATCTCCAGCTGAAATCTGTGTCCCAGAATATAGGGGTGCTGTGCTTCCTGCTGAAAATTTCAGCCACCAAGATCTCTATGCTATCCTACAACCAGTTCCCAGGCTTTACCATGCCATGTCTGCCACTAGTACTACCCAATGCCACAAATTTAGCTAATCAATTCAAAACTTCAAATGATCCTCCTAATCAGTCCACTCAATTATCCAATGGCAGAAGAAGAAGATTGATGAGTAATAATGAAACAACTGATTGGAGACATGCATCAGTGGAACAAATGCATAACAATTTTGTTGCTTGTCTAGATAGAACACAGCAAAGATTGAGCAAATCAACCTGATCACCTGAGCACTACCAAAATTGTTGATTGAAGGCATCTGACAGAAAACCAATCTTTTTTTGGAGAATTCAGGAAAGTGTACAATGCTCACCTGTATGTGATCATCAATTTTGGCCTTTATGAATGATGCATAACAATATGCATGATACCTGACCCCTGAAATACACCACATCCCTGAGCTCCGACCTGTTACCCCTACCCAAAAAAATGCCTATATTTATGCATTTTTCTTTTTTGCATATAATCATGCATCATGGGATATTATGCCAATTTGTGTAACCTGAAAAATAGTGTAGCCTGAGATGTTCACCCAAATTATGGAATTGTGTGGGTTCCACTGTCTTGCTATGTCAATCATTACACTATGTTATTAAGCAGAGAAATTTTTGCATGACTTGATTTGAGTGAAAAATCTGAATTCATTTTCACAACTTTAAGCATACCCCATCAGATTGAACTACGTAATAATAGTACAAGGTAGAAAACATGAGAAAACCTGTCACATCTCTAGTAAGATTCACAAGTGGGATATACTGGGTAGATGGCTACTTTCACTACAAAAAAGTTAATCTTTACCGGGCGGAAAAGAAAACTACTGACATAGAAAAATCCTGAGGCAACAGGAAAAGAGCTAAAAATCTGGAAAAATGTGCACCTTGTTCCTAGACGTTGGGGCGTCATAATGAGTATTTTTTTGTATTTTACACAAAAATATTGGCTAATGTACTAACAATAAAGGCTGAAAATCATCAAAAACCCACCTGTAACAATACCTGAAATTTGGCCCATGATTTTGAAGACAGGATTTTGAAATCTTCAAACATCAATAACTTTTGAAGTTCTGGATCAAATCACTCAATTTCAAGTTCATAAACAAGGTGGGCCTTTCCTGTACATTTATTATTGTGATATCACATCTGTAGCTGGTCTGCAAAAGATCCTACAGAGCTATTCATGTAGAATTGTTTGAACAAATGTAGAGTGTTTACATGACAAGATAACACCTTGCTGCCTTTATGAAGTGTAAAGGAGAATGGTTTAGCTTTTGAATGAACCAACAATCAAGTTATTTGGAGCAGAATTGCCAAAGTTATTGAAGTTTTTAGACCACAAAATATTGTTGTCATAATCATGACCCAAATTTCAGCTATTGTTACAGGCAGGTTTTTGATGATTTTCAGCCTTTATTGTTAGTTCATTAACCAATATCTGTGCGTAAAATACAAAAAAATACTCATCATGACGCCCCAACGTCTAGGAAAAAGGTGCATATTTTTTCAGATTTTTAGCTCTTTTCCTGTTGCCTCAGGATTTTTCTATGTCAGTAGTTTTCTTTTCCGCCCGGTAAAGATTACATTTTCTGTAGTGTGAAGGACGTAAACTTGAAAAAGGATCTGAGAAAAGGAAAGTGATTGGGGTTAATGAGATGTTATTGAGAGGTTGTACTTTGAGAAATACTCAACGGGTTATGGGTTTAGTGGTCTTTACTGGTAAAGATACTAAAATCATGTTAGATCAAGGTTAGCAGACTTTTCTTTGGAATTCAACATTCTAAATGATACTGATTTTTTCTGAATTTTTCATAGGTGATACTCCTTCCAAGAAAGCCAAAATCTCAGATGAAACCAATTATGCTGTGATCATCAATTTTGTCATCTTGGTTTTACTCTGTGCTATCAATGCGATTGGAGATGGAATCTATTCAGGTAATACGTCGACTAGTCCTTATTATTATGAACAAAACGCAAGTATCTTTTTGATTGCTACATTAGATGCATTGGTCACTTTCGGGTTCGTCTCTTTTTCTTTTGGCTTCTGGTTCAAGTTGAATATTGATTTGATCTTTTTGAGCATCTCACAGTGCAGCTTTGATTCTGTTTCAATCAATTGTACCCATCTCATTGGTCATCACTCTCGAATTTGTTCGAACGATCGAAGCTTTGACGATTTTCAGAGATATCGAAATGTACTATGAACCCTCGAATTGTCCAGCTGAACCTAAATCATCAAATCTTTCAGATGATCTAGGTCAAATCGAATATATCTTTAGTGATTAGACAGGCACTTTAACTCAAAACGTCATGGAATTTCAACGTTGTTCGATTTCAGGTATTGCTTATGGAGAAGGCGTTACTGATGCGATGAGAGGAGCAGCTAAAAGAGGGGCTGATCATGATCCATCTGCATTAGATGATCCGACTTTAGCTGCTACTCATTTAGCTGAATCTGAACTAAGGATGATTGATTTGATGAATCGACATTTTCGACATCGATATTTAAATTCCGAAAGTCTTACCTTGATCTCACCAGGATTAGTGGAAGATATGTTCAATGAAGATCTTGAATCAGAAGAACATCGGATTAGAATGATTGAATTTTGGACTTCACTTGCTTTATGTCATGATGTGAACGCAGGTAAAAGTGAAGGTAAAATCGAATATAAAGCTGAAAGTCCAGGTGAAGCAGCCTTAGTAGCAGCAGCAAGAGATTTAGGATTTGTGTTTGTGAAGAAATTAGGTGACCAATTATATTTAGAAATCTTGGGCGTCAAACAAAAGTATCAACTTTTGAAGATTATCGAATTCAATAGTTCTAGAAAACAAATGAGTCATTTGGTTAGATGTCCGGATGGAAAAATCAAATTGATCTGTAAAGGTGCTGATAGTATTATTATGGCAAGATTAAGATCAGATCATGAGTTAGAATATGAAAATCGAACGAATGCCAAGTTTTATAATGAAAAACAGAAAAAGAAGAATGGAAAACATTCACAACAACAACAACAACAACCGATTAGAAGACTCAATCTAGATCTGAAAGTGTCAAAATGACAGCAGTAGTAGAAACAATCCAAGTGATTACCCTTTCGAATAGAACGACTTCATCCGATCCGATGACAACACCTTTACCTACTGGGATTGGAGAAAGGATTAGATTAGATACTGGATTCGAATCACCACCCCCATCACATATTCGAACTCAAACTAGATCATGGACAGAAGAATCGACGAATCAAGACCAATCATGTTGGATTTGTTTACCTAATCGGGGCTCGGGTTCCTCACCTCATTATCATGAATGGTTTGCAGCTTCGGATCCTCAATTCGGATGATCATCAAAACTCTTTAGGAATTAATGGACCTGATGATTTGGTTTCGAGTCTGATTAGTTTTAGAACCGCTAGCGAAGGTGGTGGGATTCATAGATCGGTTCATCGTTGATATTTTACGTAATCTCCTTCTTTGAAATGGATTTCTAGATTTCTCGGCTGGAGTTTCTTTTTTCTTTTCTTTTTTTTGCATAGTGTTTTACTTTTACTTTTTTTTTGCTGAGAGCTAAATCTTGCAGCATTGTCTAGATATCCCCCTTTTTACTTAATTCCTTTTGTTCAAAGTATATAGAAAACCTTTTTGTTCTTTTTTGTTGGATTTTTTCTCTGTACTCTTTACATTTTTTACTTCTTTTGTTTTGCAATTTTTTGAAGAAAGAAAAACATCTACAAAAACTCAATATTTATTTTTCCTTTTTACTTTTTACTTTTACTATGCCTTTTGTCTGCTTTGGGTCTTAATTCTTTCCTAATTTTGTTTTTCTCCTTTGCATTCATACAATATCAATTTTTTGGATTTGTTTGAATATTTCTTTTTGTTTTCTGTTTTTCTGTTTTTTCCTTTTCTAACATTCATTTGATTCTCTCTTTTTTTTCTATTTGCAATTGTCATTTTAAATAAACTCATGAATCATTTTGCTTACCCAACAGAGAGAGAGAGAAACAGAGAGAAAAAGATACGTGAAGTAATGTTCTAAAATCACTTGTACAAAAAAACATTACCAGATGTGACTCTAACAAGTCTAAGGATGAATATAAATACCGTGATTACTTTTATATTTCTCTTACATAATATCATTTGTGTATTGGATATTGTTTTGATCTCGATTTTGCCCAGGGAAAAGATAAAGTCCTTTATATATAACAATTTTGAGTCTTTTTCTTTTGGTTCACTTTGAGACCTGATTCAAAAAATGCTTCAGATCATCTATCATTGGAATACATTAGTTCAAGATATCTTTGTATATATTTTCTCAAGCATCTTGTGATCAATATGTAAAGGGCTCTTCAGTGACAGTTTTCATCAAAAGTAACTGCACTCAACTGATGGTGATGGCCATATAGCTTCTGGATTGGTACTTGTCCAAAATGTTTTTGTTGAGCTGCACTTGTAAAAGCAATTACACCTATTGCGGTATAACATAAGATATCTAATCAGTACTGTTACACATACGGCGGATATCGAGATTGAAAAAACCACCTTATATGCCCCATTTTTCCATATAAAGAAGATAATGCAGATTGATCTTAAAGATGTGGTGTAGTCATTTCAAAGTGTAATTGAAGACATAGCAAGACAAACGAAACCTTCTCCAAGATCTTGGCCATTTCAATTGCAAGAGTCTCTCTTTCAGATATGTATAACAGATTATAGATTCCAAGCACCCACGACCAAACGAAGTGTAGTGCGAGCCATTTTGGTTAACTACTTTTCCTGACTCTGACATGGCTACCCTATAATTAAACCCATGATTAAATTGTAAATCTCCAAACTGGACTCATAGCTGATATCCAATGGCCATTGCCTGAACTCCAATTTCTGTCTAGACACATACGAGCTTTTGCTGCAAACATATTGAAGCTCATGTCAGATCCAGCCCAAACAAAACCATGATTGAATATTTGACATACCAAAATCTTTCCAGGTTTTGACCTTTTCATAGTTTGACTTCATCATCGTTGTTTGATCAAAGATAGCTTTGGAAAGTAGACGATCTGGTCCAGAGTCTTGATTTAATTTTTCATCCTCTGCTTGTGAATCAAAAGGGTAAACAGTTAAAACTGAACTAAAAGTATGAGGCTTGATTAAATGAAGATTTAAAGAGATTGATTTATGTATGCGGGCTTGTGTTAAGCTAAGAGAGATGGGTTCATCAAGACCAGTGCGCACATATCCACAGCTAGACTTTGATGATAAGATGGAATCTATTCATTATTTGGACCGGTTATATCTTGTTTGATGCGGTGGCCAGATCTCATGACTATGATGTTCTTGTGATGATTCTAAAGGTGATGGATGATAAGGTGTGGCCGATGTAACAAAGGGTGATAGGTATGGTTCATAATGTGGA